GTTTGGTTTTGTGTCTCTTCTTTGTTTGCTCATGTTATTTATTTGCTTTGTTTTGGTTTTATTCGCAAAGTGTCTCTAAATCTCATTAGTTTTGATATTTAGTATTTCCTCATTTCCTCAAAAAAATTTTTTTTTGAGACAGAGCCTTAAGCTGTCCCCCTGGGTAGAGTGCTGTGGCATCACAGCTCACAGCAACCTCCAACTCCTAGGCTCACGTGAGTCTCCTGCCTCAGCCTCCCAAGTAGCTGTGACCACAGGCGACCACCACAATGCCCAGCCATTTTTTGGTTGCAGCTGTCATTGCTGTTTGGTGGGCCCAGGCTGGATTCGAATCCACCACCTTAGGTGTATGTGGCTGGCGCCTTAGTCACTTGAGCCACAGGCGCCAAGCCCATTTCCTCAAATTTTAATTATAAGTCTCCTTTGCTATTAGTTTAATTGTGAACAAAATCTTACTCCCTTTTTTTTTTCTACCAAAGGGAAATAAGTCTTGAATTCTAACATTGAATTTGAACACATCATGAACTGTATTGTATGCCCTTTAATTGGTTTGTCGCTCTTCTTCCAGAAGAAACACTTCCTGCTTAAACATTTGTGTTCTCAACTCACACAAAAATAAATCCCTGAAAAGATAATGTACTATACTTATTCTATATTCTATTTATTCTTTTTCAGCTAATATCTCTTAAATAATTATTGCATGCAAGGCACTGTGTTAAATATTTAGTATGCCATGGTAAATAAAAGAAGTATGGTACCCTCTTCTCGGAGTTTACAAACCAGTGAGAAAAACAAAGAATAATCAAGGTAACTAATAAATATATACATTTTGAATTTAAAAAATCTTCCTGGGGGAAACACTTAAAAAGAGTGAGACCATACAGATGTGGATAATAGAAGATTGCACTGATAAGGTATCGCTTGAACTGAAACTGGAAGGATGAGCAGAACCTACTCCTTAAAAACAGAGAAGCAAGAGCTCTGGGGAAAGGAAACAGCCTATACAAATTGATACCTCCAAGTGGAAAATAATTGGGCATATTTAGAACACTAAAGTACTGCTGAGACAGTAGTCAGAAGAATAAGGAGATAAATCTATCTAATAATTTTACTAGATATAGATAGATATTATATGTACAAGATCTGATCTAGGATGCAAATATGTATTTAGTTGTTGTATCTATTTAGTACCTTTTTATTTTTTGGTTCTTGGAGTTGCTCTTTTATATTTAGTCTTCTTTAACTTGGACTAGTTCTACAGTTGTTCTTTATCTTTCATGGCCTTAAGTTTTAAAAAATATAGGCCAGTTATTTTGTAAAATATCTCCCAATTTGGCTTTATACTGTGTTTCCTTATATTGACTCAGGATACCCAAGTTTTTTTAAAAGATATGGAATTTTGGAGGAGTAAGCAGAGACTTTGTAGCTCATGGTAAACAATTTAAAAACTTTTTATCCAAGTGTAAAGTGCAAAAAAATATGGAAATTTGGAAGAGTAAGCTCAAACTTTGTAGCTCACAGTAAACAATTTAATATTTTTTATCCAAGGGCAAAGTGCAAAAAAATATGGAAATTTGGAAGAGTAAGCTCAAACTTTGTAGCTCATGATAGACAATTTAGATATTTTTTGTCTAAGTGCAAGGTAAACCTTTTAGAAAAGATTTTAAGTTGAGAAATACCAAAACCAGACACATAGATACATTGCATTGTATCTGGGTGTCATGTATTCCATATATACAAACATTTTTTATCACAACAGTTGTTCTTTTAGAAATGGATTGGAAAACAACAATGATGGAAGCAAAGAAGCCCGTTTGGTAGCTATTGTAGAAGTCCAGGTGAGAGATTATGGTCACCTGGATGAGGATTGTGGCAGCAGAGATGGAAGAAGTAGACCAAATTTAATAAATATTTTGGAGGCAACATTAATAGAAATTTCTGAGAGACTGGATGTCAAGGATGAATGAGAGAGATGAAAACAGAGACACTGTGTCTTTTGATCTTTTTTGATTAAAAAATATTTGAGATTTTAAATTTAAAAACAAGAGATTGAAATTGCAGAGGAAGAGTCTTCTGGCAAAAGAAACTTCCTTCCATTGCTTCCATTACATACAAGATACAAATAATAAGTAACAAGAAATCCTTAGTTTGAATTTGCACATGAGCATCAAGTTCCCAGTTCTTTAGTCACACTCAATAATTTAAAGAGCATTTCACAACTCTGATATTAAAAATCATGTATATCAGAGGCACCTGTAGCTCAGTGGGTAGGATGCCAGCCACATACACTGAAGCTGGTGGTTCAAACCCAGCACAGGCCAGCTAAAACAATGACAACTGCAACAAAAAAATAGCTGGGCATTGTGGCTGGCACCTGTAGTCCCAGCTACTTGGGAGGCCAAAGCAAGAGAATCGCTTTAGCCCAAAGTTTGAGGTTGCTGTGAGCTGTGACACCACAGCGCTCTACCCAGGACAACACCTTGAGGCTCTGTCACAAAAAAAAAGATTACTCATAAATAAGAACAAATCAGGAGGTATCACATTACCAGACTTCAGGCAGTACTATAAATCTATAGTGATCAAAACAGCATGATACTGGCACAAAAACAGAGCGGTAGATTTATGGAACAGAATAGAGAACCAAGAGATGAACCCAGCTACCTATCATCATTTGATCTTTGACAAGCCTATCAAAAATATTCAGTGGGGGAAAGACTCCCTATTTAACAATGGTGCTGGTCGAACTGGCTGGTGACCTGTAGAAGACTGAAACTGGACCACCACCTTTCACCATTAACAAAAATTGATTCTCACTGGATTAAAGGTTTAAACTTAAGACATGAAACTATAAAAATACTAAAAGAGAGTGCAGGGAAAACACTTGAAGAAATTGGTCTGGGAGAATATTTTATGAGGAGGACCCCCCCCTAGACAACTGAAGCAACAAAAATATATTACTGGGATCTGATCAAACTAAAAAGCTGTTGCACAACCAAGAGCACAGTAAGTAAAGCAAACGGACATCCTTCAGAATAGGAGAAGATTTTTGCACATTACGCTTCTGACAAAGATCTGATAACTAGAATCTACAGAGAACTCAAGCTAATCAATAAGAAAAGAATAAATAACCCCATTTCTATGTGGGCAAGAGACTTGAACAGAAACTTCTCTGATGAAGACAGGCACATGGCCTCAAACATATAAAAAAAGCTCATCATCCTTAATCATCAGAGAAATGCAAATCAAAACCACTTTGAGATATCACCTAACTCCAGTAAGATTAGCCCACATCACAAAATCCAAAAACTACAGATATTGGCATAGATGCAGAGAGAAGGAAATGCTTCTACACTGCTGGTGGGAATGCAAGCTAATACAGCCTTTTTGGAAAGAATTTTGGAGAACAGTCAAGGAACTAAAAGTAGACCTACCATTTGATCCTGCAATTCCTCTACTAGGTATATACCCAAATGATCAAAAATTATTTTACAACAAGGACATTTGTACCAGAATGTTTATTTCAGCCGAATTCATAATAGTCAAGACATGGAAACAGCCCAAGTGCCCACTGACCCATGAATGGATTAACAAATTGTGGTATATGTACACCATGGAATACTATGCAGCCATGAAAAAAGATGAAAACTTCACATCTTTTATGTTTACCTGGATGGAGCTAGAACATATTCTTCTTTGTAAAGTATCCCAAGTATGGGGAAAAAAGTATCCAATGTACTCGATACTACTATGAAATCAATATATAACCACCTACACAATCATATGAATGGCAAAACATAACTATAGTCCATAAAGTAGAAGGGAAGAGGAGAGAGAGGGAAGGGAAGGGGAGATATGGGAGAAGGGAGGGTTTTGGGGGGGACCTCACCTAATGTGCATGATGCAATGGTACATTTCAAAACTATTAAGAAATGAGTATAATTGTGATGGATGTGTTACTTGATTCAATGTAAACATTTCACATTGTACACCAAACAGTACCATAAACCCCATAAATGCATCAATGTACAAAGTTATGATTTAATAAAAAATATTTAATTATTAAAAAAATAAAAAGTAAGAAAAATTAAACCAAAAAAAAAAAAAAAAGAAAGAAAGAAAGAAAAGAATCATGGACATCAAAAGGTAAGGATGTGCTTATATAAGGATGGGGACATGTTTAAAAAAACCAAAAAGCCAGTTTAAAGGGAATCCCTTGGCTGAATCTGAGATAATACAACCCATAAAATAAATGACAGTTGCTGACCCACAAAATTACATAAGAATTCATGATGCTATACTCACATAAATAGGTAAATAAACAAGAGACAAAGGAAGGCTCCTCCTTACAGTAGAATTCCAACTAGTAAATATATAACGAATAACATTAGGAAAAACATCATCCTTTGGCAACCACCCACAATAGTAATTTTCAGTCAATAGGAATTTATGGATATAGTATAATAAAAATAGTATATTCACCTAGTCTCAAAGTATCACCCCACAAGACATTAATTTCAAAGAAATAATAAATTTTCTGTTATGAAAGCTAAAGGACCTTCACTAATCCTAATCCAAACATTAACCCTAACATTACACATGTGCCTGAGATATGATGCACTGAGCACACTTCTTAACCCTAACATTACACATGTGCCTGAGATATGATGGACTGAGCATACCTCTGCTGCACTCCTGTCAAATGCACTGAGAATGCAGTCAACTTGAGAATGCACTTCTATTGCGCTCCCATCAAAATTCATAGCCTTAATCTTGTGCTTGCTTCAGCAGCACATACAGGCAGTCCCCAGGTTATGAATGACACAGGTTCTGTAGGCTTATCCTCAAGTTAAATTTGTGTGCAAGTTGGAACATATACATTTATCTGTAATTGCCTTTGTTCACAAGTGCAAGTTGTATGTGAGTCAGATGTTTGTAACCCAGGGACTTACCATAATAGCCTTCATTCATAAACACAAGTTTTATGTAAGCCAGATGTTTGTAACTCAAGGACTGGTTGCTTACTAGAATTGAAACAGTATGGCGAAGATTAACATAGCCCTGTGTAAGAATGATGCACAAATTCATGAAACATTCCATATATTTTTAAAAACTTAGATATCCTGAATCTAATACAAGGAAACATGGTACATAGCCAAATTGGGAAATATTTTACAAAATAACTGGCCTGTATTCTTTAACACTTAAGGTCATGAAAGACACAGAACAACTGTGGAACCAACCCAAGTTAAAGAAGACTAAACATAAAACAGCAACTCCAAGAACCAAAAAATAAAAAGGAGCTAAATAGATACGACAACTAAATACATATTTGCATCCTGGATCAGATCTTGTATATATAATATATATGTATATATATAATACATATATGTATATATATGTATATACACATATATAAAATAAAATTATACATCATATATATTATATACCTTGAATAGTACCGGGTTTCCCCTACCCAAAAAATAAGCCCTAGCAGGATTTCTATGCAGTTGTTTTTATTTGTTTGTTTGTTTTTTATTAAATCATAGCTGTGTACATTAATGCAGTCATGGTGTACAGTGTGCTGGTTTTATATATTATTTGGAATATTTTCATCAAACTGGTTAACATAGCCTTCATAGCATTTTCTTAGTTATTGTGTTAAGACACTTATATTCTACAATTAGAAAGATTCATATGTACCCTTGTAAGATGAATCATAGGTGTGGTCCCACAATTCACCCTCCCTCCACTCATCCTCCCCCCTCCCCTCTCCTCCCTCTCCCCTTTCCCCATATTTTAGGGCTATAATTGGGTCATAGCTTTCATATGAAAGCTATAAATTAGTTTCATAGTAGGGCTGAGTATGTTGGATACTTTTTCTTCCATTCTTGAGATACTTTGCTAAGAACAATATATTCTAGCTCCATCCATGTAAACATTAAGGAGGTAAAGTTTCCATCTTTCTTTAAGGCTGCATTATATTACATGGTGTACATGTACCACAATTTATTGATCCATTCATGGGTCGATGGGCACTTGGGCTTCTTCCATGATTTAGCAATTATGAACTGGGCTGCAATAAACATTATGGTACAAATATCTTTGTTGTAGTGTAATTTTTGGTCTTCTGGATATATACCTAGTAGAGGAATTGTAGGATCAAATGGCAGGTCTATTTTTAGTTCTCTAAGTGTTCTCCAAACA